TTTTTGATCATGTTGTTGCATTTATGCGAACTGATTCTAATTAAAAGTATTTGTTGTTGTTGTTGTTGTTGTTGTTCAAACGTATTCTATAGTATAGGATTTTCAAGTAATGCAAAATTGGTTAAGATATAATGTAACAATGTAACAACGTTTATACTGATAATGAGCATAATACTATGCAAACACTATAGTTGGTATATTAACATAAGGGAATGTTTCTCATATATAATGACTCACACCACTATTTGTTGACATGAGCGATAGGGTTTGTGTGCCTTCGAACATTACACGGTAGTACTCGTGCGCATATATTTTACATTCAGCAAATAGTACTAGAATGCGATACATGGAAGTCACTTTTGGCAACACGAATAAAGAGAACTGAACAGTAAGTCTGAGCCTTCTTTTTTTAAAGGACTATGTTGGTTTGTAGAAAAACCCATATTTTCAGCGTTTACTATCGACAATTCCGTTGTATAACCAAAAACTTGTGAATTTGTCCCATTTTAATGTTGTGTATCCTAGCATCTCTGTTTACCTCCAGTGGGAGGTATTTTTAGTCATAGACTGTGATTTAACCTTTTATTATTACATACGAGTATATGTAAGCTTCTTTTTATGCATTGTACTGAATCAATAACAACTCTAAAATTTGTGTATACATGCTGTCAATAGCTGTTACCTAGACTTGCTGTCTATCAGAACTATTTTTATGTACATGAAATACTACACAGAATATATTAAGTTTTGTAAGTGATGGTTTTTTAAGAGATAAAATAAGCAAGGTATACATAAATTGATAATCGACATACAAACCTTTGGACTCATTTAAATATTATTATTGAAAAAAAAACTGGCAAAAATTGTTAAATATATCTATACAGTATGATTAAAAATAAAAAAAGTTATGTACGAAAGGGTACATACAACTTTGGTTATAATTTTACTATTGTTAAAAGTTTGTTGTTGTCCAGTCATACGTTAGAATTAAGGTCACTGATGCTACTACTAGGAAAGACAACAGCCAGAATTTGGTATGTATTAGTATTTAGTCGTAACAAAATCTCTATCAGAACTGATGTTGACTTGAAAATTTGAAAGTGGTAAGGAAGCAGCTTAACTGTAAATGTTACTCATTCCTATGCAAATTGGAATACCCTCAGTAAAATTTATTTGTCGTTGAATATAGTCTTATCAATAGTTTTTACTTCCTTGGAAAATATTTAACCTCAGACAGTAAGTAACCTAATGAGTTTTATTATTATTATTTTTAGTTTCTTTTTCTAGATAATGTTGTATCTACAACGTTTTAAAACTTATATGCCTATAATCCTAATAAGTCCGCTGATGTTGATTGTATAAATGCATATAATGGCAATCTTGCAAGTGAATTATGTTTGGTGAATAAGTAAACACCTAAAAGGTGTGGTAAGTATGGAATTCCATAAACGACAGCCTACTGCTCAATGCCTACTGCTAACTGGACAGCCTGCTGCTTACTGCCTACTGCTAACTGCTTATTGACAGTCTAAGTCTATGTATGGATAAAATAGAAGTATTCCGAATGTACACACATGTGCACCCGCCATTTTGTTGAAAACAATCTGCTGGGAAAACAATGGTAAGTAAATTAAAAAGGATTATTTTATAATTAAGCCTAATAATTTGTAATTTCGAATTCATTTCAATGACTTGTGTTTGTCCCACCATTGCACACTGCATTGATTATGTCATGAAATGGTTCCACGTGCCTCTTGCACAGGTGATGATAAATTGTCAAATATAGGACTCATTTAAGGGAAAATCAACTTAATAATAACTTATTCACAAAAATTCTGTGTTCAACAATCAAAATGGATGGGCTTGCGCCCACCACTATTCCTCGGTTGAGAGGCGGAGATCTGGACCATTATGTTAACACTCCCTTATTTTATTTAGAATTTCATAGTTTATTAAACTTTCATTTGACAATGTAATACATTTCTAGAAGAATATCTGTAATGTACTAGTGAAATCACTGGTGAAATTTAGGCTAAACATTCTCTCTCATAATCAAAAATGTGTGAGTTCATTTACGAGATCATTTAGGTTCAGTTTTCATTGGCTGTTAGTTATAGCTTATAAATGTATAATTCCTTATTAGATGTTATGTAATGCATTTTTGTTAAGTTGATTGCATTCTTGATAGTTTATGTTGTAAAGATATGTGCTTTGAAGATTAATAATACAATTGTAGAATCAATTTTATTCTAGTACAGAGGATGATAAATCTTACAGAAACATTTCAATGGAGGAACAGCCTATACTTTCATTGACTTCACAGACAAGTAACAGAACCAATACACCTGTATGAAAATATTGAAATTACAGTGGAAGAGGAAAAGACTACATAAATGTATTGGTTCTTAAAGGCGAGTTTAACTCGGCTTCCTTCTGAAAGCATAAACAAAGACAAACTTGGCTGTATTCAAATTGTTTCAAAAACGTTCAATATTTCAATGACATAAAGAGTGCAAACATGAAGTGATAAATAACAGTTTGGACCAGGTTATTTTACTATTATGAAAAGCCATCGTTATTCACTTGTTTAAATTCAATTGTGCTATTGAAAAACTATGAGAAATAATAGATTCTTAACTATTTACATTTACTTAAAAATTTCTGATAGACAAAATGATCATGTTAATGTTACAATATATTTTTTGACGTGTTTGTTTAAAATCCATCTTTTATATAGTTTTTAATTATCTTGTTAACAAACACACTTAAATGTGAACTTTTAGGTTGGTTATCTTTTCTATTTCTTTTTTCAATTACCGCAAGTAAAACCAATGAGCAAATCTGCCTTCGTATTTGCCAGAATCATCCAATGAAAGTCATTACTATTTCTATCAGGGTTCTAGAGGTTTGACAAGTTCAATTGACAAGACAATGGTAAACAGTTCTAAGACATCGTGATAGTGTAGAGCTTCTATGATATGATATGAAGCATTTTTTAGTTACCTTTCTTACAACGTGTATATCACTTTACATTGCAGAGTATATTTACATTTATATAATTTCATAACAACTACATGTATATAATTCAAAACAGAACTTTTAATTATAATTCTACTTTTATATTAATTGCTTTCCCCGAAACATTACAAATATTTTATATAGATTTTGATTTTTTACAGGCGTGTCATAATTTTTATTTTAAATAACGGTGTATACAAGAAAATATTAGCTTACTGGTCTCATTATTGGACTAAACATACTTTTTATGTGGTGTGTATTTTGTTTTCGTTTTAATTGTAAATAAAAAAGTTCTAAAATATCATAATTTTCTTGTAATTTTGTTTATGTTTAGCTCCCCGGAAAACAAAATTATGACAAAATGAATTAAAAATGGTTATATATATGTTAACAATAAAGCAATTGTTGAATGTTGTAACATGACCAATTTGAAAAAAAAAAACAATATTCAACATTGTCACATTTAACCCATTACTTCATGAGCATTTTGTGAAAAATGGCTGTTTTCATTGAAAAGTCTCCCTTTACAAGTTCAAATTGCTATAAAACCATAAAAACTGCTTCAATACTAATCAAACTTGGCACAAATGTTTACTGGACCATTGCCTTTGTAACAACATGCCCAGGCTTAAATTTCTTGTTATCTTGGCAACGAGGGGACATCTCAAAATTGCCAAAAATCACTATTTTGCGTTGATTTTTTCCATCAAAATTGATTTCAAATTGCTGCAACTTCTAAATGGATTGAGATAGAGTCAAATGCTTTTCAGCGTTGGTTACACGTTACCTTATGATCGATCTAATGTCATTTTTAGCCTCTCACAAGTCCAAAATGTTCTTGTGCCTCCTTCTGGCAACCCCCTGATGTATCGTTTGGTTGGGATGTGTTGGGGGCCTAAAAAAGGCATTTTTTTCATCATTTGAGACAACAAAAACGGGGGTGAAAAAGGCGTTAAAAGGCATGTATATCGGGTAATGGGTTAAACAGTGTCTTAGTCCATCAATATTAAATGGATGGGATCGCGAAAAGTATGTATTAGGAAGATGAAGATTACGTTATATCATTAGCTCCATAAGAAATACATCTGAAGCTCCAGTATCTGGCAAGTTAACTGAATATATTTCTTCAAAACAGCCTTTAAACACTCTTTTCTTAAGGCAATAAAATAAAAAGACGGCCGTCCAGCAATATATTGATTAATCTGTTTTCTATCATGTGGTTTTAATGCCTTTATCATATACATGTATTATAAAATATAAAAATTAGAATGTAACACAGGCAATACTGCAAAAACTAAGAAATTACATGCGGAAGGCATTACAGTGACTAAAATTTAGGATACCGCAGTTCATCATATCGATAAACAAATACTAACAACACTTTGTATTAATGATGCCTAAGTAACTCAAAGATCTTTAAATTATTTTATTATACATCGACTTTCCAATTATAACACAATAATTGACATGTTATTCATCATGCTTTTTTAACATCTACTAAAGTAACATTTTCTTGAGACACATCTAAGGCTTTGTACAATTAAGGTATAAATGTACGGTCTACAATCACCAGAACAAGTATTAACTTTTTTAGACAGAACTAAACGGTTCCATGTATGATTTGAATCATGAAGTATGTATACTCTTCCAGTACGTTTAACGAACAACTGGTAATCCGAGACGTGACTGGTATATATATATATATTTCTGAAAATCTATATGTCTATGTTTTGAGAACCATTACATAGATTATTTTAAAAAAAAACATTATAGCATTATTTTTCAAAATGCGAATTTAAAACTGACCATTGTGATTTAAATGTAAAAACAAAGACGTTCATGACATTACAAGGCCTCCGTTTAAAAATACCATTAAGTTCTATAAGCTTCAGTCACACTACACCGCATAGCGTTAACAGACGCCAAACGCAAAGAAAAATGCGGCTGAAAGTTATCCGATGATGAAAAGCATATTTCGCTGCTGCTCGGTGCTGTCATGATCGCTGTACGGGGCGCATAAAACGTACAAAACGCACAATGACCGAACGATCAACGCACATATACCGGATGAACGACGTACAGTTAACGGACTTCACCGTACTAGTAACGGATTTGTACCGCACAAAACGTACACGCAGCGCATGAAGAACTGACAAAACGTTCTTTGAACGTTCGACGAGCGTATTTCTACCGGTCACGTGACGGACAAAACTGGTTGTGTAGAACCAAACAGGTGGTGCCAATGAGGCGAATGGTCGATGGATGATGCTGCATGGTACTCATCAGGACTTGGAACCGGTTAGCGAGGATGCCGAAAGCATTTTCAACCACTCTTCGAGCCCTTGACAGCCTGTAGTTAAATATCCTTTCATCGTGAGACAAGACTCTGTGACTGTATGGCTTCTGCATATAGGTCTTCAGGCCAAAGGCATCGTCGCCTGAAAATAGACAAGTAATATATTACATGCATTTACGAGTACAATACACATTTAAAAGAAATCAGTCTATTACAGTATGTTCATTTATTTTATTTCCTCGCATTTTTTTTCTTACCAATATAGAAAAATGGCACATCCTGCGTGTCGTGTGGCAGGGGTTCGGGGTCCGGCAGGTCAAGTTCCTCGTCCTCAGTTGCAGCTTTAAGGTCGGACTCGTTCCACAACTGAGCATCAGATGCAGCACCGCGGCCTCCGATGTCGGCCCAAATGAACTTGCAGTCGTAGTCAACGAGGGCCAGCAGGACAATGGAGTAGTACTTCTTATAGTTGAAATATGTGGACCCGGAACTAGGTGGACACTTACTGGCAATATGCTTGCCATCCAACGCACCCGAAGTGTGAGGAAAGTTCCATTTTTCCAAGAAGCCATCTAAAATGCGTTTCCAGTCAGCAGCTGTAGTTGGCAAAGGCATGACCTCGTCCACATACTCGTCTATAATTGCTCTGCACACCTGAAAATGTAAATAAAAATGCGATTTTAAAAGTAGAAATAATCATATAAGCAAATTATTGATACTTAAAAAGACCAGAAATTATATACATGTAATTGTTCGAGTTATTTTTCAGAATCATGGGAAAATAAAAATAGTTACTTCTCGCACTATGACAGAGATGGTGTTGTGAGGTATCCTCCAGGCGAACCGCATGTTGGAATACTTTGACCCTGACGCAAGATGTCTTAGTGTAACGGCTAACTTCATTCCAGGGTCAAGAGAGGTTCTGTATCTGGTATATTGTTTTGTTATTCTGGGACTCACTCGTTCAAGAATCTCATCAAACATCTCAGGAGGCATCCTCATGAAGTTCGTAAATGACCGCTGGTCTTCTCTCCGCAGCTCCATCATGAGTTGATCGTAGAGACCAAACATTCGACGTCTCTCAGGACCCAGCCAAACCTTTGACAACCACCTCCGCAGTCGCCTCCTTCTTCTCCTATTTTCATAAGCGACAATATCTACATTCGCATCCAACAGGTCAATACGTGCCTGGATCACGGCCGCTTGATACTGCAGGCGGGCTCTAACGCGACACTCCATGATATGTGGATCATTAACTCAAACTATCAAAGTTTCAGAAGGTCCTTGAAATGCAGGAAAATATATGACAGTTATAACCAGGGAAACATCGTTTTATTCATCATCAGTTTTGTGCGGTGGACCATCGATTCATGTCTGTTATTTATCAGTTCTTATACGTCCCTTGTTCGTTATCGTCCGTTTAACATACGTTACATCCGCTGCATGTCCGTTAGTAGTCCGGCCGTGAATCAGGTCCACCGGACAAGAACCGACTCGAACCGGACAAGTACAGAATAAGGAACGAACGAGTAACGAACAAAACGCATACCAGCGCATGGTTACCGTACATCTGACGGACAACTTTATCCGGTGGTGTACGTTCCAAATTTTGAACATGTTCAAAACTTTCCACCGAACGGAACGGACACCGCCGGACACCGCAGGACAAGAAGCGCAAACGCCGCATGATAAACGGAAAAGAAACGCATGCGAACGGACATGGACGGATTGAAAATTTTGTTATGCGTTGGACGTTCGTTAACGCTATACGGTGTAGTGTGACTGAAGCTATAGTTATAGGGTAAGGTCAATATCATTTAATGAACAAATATTATAATATACATGTATATGGTAGATGTATCTAATAAAGCAAGCAGTTATATTTGGTAGCTCAAAATTACCGAACAAGATTTAATGACAGAAAAAATTGTAATATTTGGTTAGTTTAACATTTCTATAAAGATCACAGGTATGATTTGGAAAAGTTCCAGATGCCTGCAAAGATATATACTTATTTTTCTGCTTATGTACATGCATAAATGTAACAAATTCCAAGGTTTCATTCAGTCTTCCTTGACCAATACTGTTTCAAACGGCCTCATTGTAACATATAAACACATTGGAAGAAGGACATAAAAAGTCAACATTTACTTTCAGGCAATTGATCGGGTATTAGACAGGTGTAGCAGTATATAGGCATTTATCAATTAACAGTAAGCATTAAACAGTCGCTGTTAGCATTAAGCAGTTTAAAGTAAGCAGTTGAAAGTAGGCAGTTGACAGTAAGCAGTTGACAGTAGGCAGTTGTTAGTAGGCAGTTCACTGTTAACAGTAGGCTGTCGTTTATGGAATTCCGTAGGTAAGCGGAAACTACGCTGCTTCTTGTCGCCGACGGTAAATACCGAAAATGAGCCGATAAGTACGTTTATTTACGATGATGTAGTGGGCGGGAAAATGGGCGGAGCTTATTTTATCTCCTATTGAAAAAACGTGTAAAGCTGGATTTCATGATGGTTCGACAATGTAAAGCTAAGAAAGTAACTTCTGTTTTGTCGGCGTATACACGAACAATGAGTATTCGAACACATGGTATTGCTACTATCAGCAAACCAGTTAATGTTTTGTCGTTTAACAAAATGTATTTTGTTGAAATGCATGTTTACAATGTTGAATCGGCAAAATCAATCCAAGAATGCAACATTGGAGTTTACATACAAAGAAATACAATTGCATTTTGTCCATAAAACAAACTGTTCAATTCAGATCAACAAGGCTGGATTTTTGGCAACGAATAGCCTCCATACATATGGTCTCTTTCCGGTGGCGAGGGTAAACAAACCCAAACATACACTGGTAACAACCTTAATTACAACATCAAGGGTCTTTAACTCCAATCACCGCTATCGGTACTATATGCATGTCAATTGTAATTTTATATTTCTCAGATAAAAGATGAATTTGTATAAGATACAAATATCCAAAATTTCCTTACAAATATGAAACCATCACTGCCATTATTTTATTTTCTAGAACTCCATGATGAACTAACATTTAACACTAATTTAACCTAGCTGAAAATAAGAATGAATTAGTCACCATGCATTCATTCATGTTAAAATCATATTGACATGAGTTGAACCACGACAGAACATTCTACTAAATAATTTATATAGGCACCCAGTGGAATATCTGTTACGCGAAAAAGTGACTCCAACATTTTCAATTCATGATTCACTGAATCGGCAATGTGACACCAAAACAGTTGTGATAAAAATGTTGTTTTGTGTCTTAATTTGTTGCAGTGGAGTTTTCTGAGACCTTCTCATTAATATCAATATCTACAATTGTATCTAATTGTTGTTAATTTTAAATTAATTTGAGTGAGTAACACTTGTTTTCTGTCTCTGTTTCTGAAATGAAAAAAGATTAATATATTAAGATAATTATAAGAGCTTTCAAATATTCAAAGGTCATAGTTGAAAAATATGTAACTGTTTCGCTGACAAAATAAATTGTATACAATATATATACAAAAATGTACTTCTAACATGACGTACATTCGTGTTGTCGGAACGGTATAATATTGATGATCGCATGGTAATAAAGAAATAAACTAATAAATTATGCACTTTTAAGAAATATTCATATCATGACTTTGGATATACATGTACATGTGTGATCTTGACCTATCGACTCTATACTTGACTCTTGAGAGCGACACAGCGTCAATATGTCCAACATATTGATGCAAAGTTGTCTATAAATGACAGAATTGCTGATCTTGCTGAACTTTTATAAAGACGTCCATATTAGAACTTGAGACTTGACTAACACGCGACGCGTCATCATTATGTCCAACACATGCTAAGTAATCTTAAATCCATTCAGGAATGACAGAATTACCACCAGTGCCTTAAATTCGTGACTTTCAACTTACTAGTGTGACCTTGACCTTTTACTGAGAAGCCTTATTCTTACATACGACACGGTGTCTTCAGGCCCAACATATCTATGCATATTTATTGTAATATCCAATAAGGTATAATCAGAGTCTTGGACCTTTGACTTACAACTATAAGACCTGCGCGCGACATATCGTCTAAATTTGCTTCACATTTATGCAAATAACCTTTGTTTAAAACCATAAATAAAAGGCAAAGTAACGGAACGAACACAAAGTGTGGACGTTTTTACGGGAGGAAGGAAGGATTTAAGATTTACCGATGAATGATGCATTTATAAAAAATGAAATAAAGTCTAACTTTTTGCCCTTACCCTTTTATGTAAAAGATTAAATGGTTTCAGCACAAAATTGCCCTTAATATTTTTTTCTGAAACTTAAGGATAGTGGACTAAGTATATTTTGTAAAAGTGAAACAGATTATAAAAATAATTGTCTTGGTATTGTCCACCTACAACGTTTTAAATATTTTCTATGCGGTTTTAGAAGATGGCCGAAAGTCACTGACTTTCTTTTAAAGATAAAATAACAACAGCGTCTTCTTTTTCCTTTCTACAGAATATATTTACAACTACATTTGTATACAATATTAGGAAATTTAACGCATATTACAAAAGCACAACATACATGTACGAAAAATACTAATTCATAATTAATTTTGGTTCAGAATTATTAAGTTAATTTTTACAAGACCTCTCATAAAACAGATCAATCGTAATTACTTCCTAGATAAGTTAAACAATACCAGCAAAAACCGATGGCCACAAGTACAATTTATCCAAAAGACACTGTGTATCCAAAACCTGTTTGGTTAAACATAAATATATAATGAGGTTAACTTTTTTATTAACTATAGATAGTCCTAATAAAGGGAGAGGCTATGCAGAAAGTAATCAGTAATCAAAGTAGAATCAGGCGATGAATGGTCTACAATGTTAAGATAATCACATTATAAGCTGTAGGATAAGAAGTAATTTGCTTTATTATCGATATATTCATGTAACGTCATTTTTGCGGTTTCCGATTTATCCCTATATTATAGCATATGACTGTATTGTTCTAACGTACAGAAGATTTATTTTTGCGTAGCTGTATTAAAATCAATTTGGACCTACATTTGTAGCCAGTGGAATTTTAATTAGATCTAAGTTAAAATCCTTCAGCTAAATAAGATTTATCTTGTTTCAATGACAAGGTTAAAGAGTGGCAAAATAAAGATTACAGGGCGGAGTTTTGCTGAAACATTAAACATCTTGTCCACACCATTTGTCCATTCACAGAGACAATCTTTGTCAATATTAGACATCGAACTGTTAGATTTCTTCAAATGTAAGTGAAACAGTTATAAAGTTGTCATACATTGTATTTTATTCTCGCAATTTCTATAACGATGAACTTCAATCTTCAGCTGGTGCATGAATACACTGTATATTGTCTATATTGTTACTGGCAAATTTATTTTTGAGCAGGATATACCGTATGTCTTTAAATGCAACGTCAGTTGGGTAACGATCGCTCGCAAGCATCGCAGTATATCGAGAATTATTATAATCAAAATATTTTTTATTTATTTTTTCTTTTTACAAAAAAGTTACATAAAAATAATTTAGGGACTTTCCTTTCCTGCAATATTTCTGTAAATCACAGATATTCGACTTTTGCTTCGGACTTTTTTTTAAGAACAGACTAATCAAAGAAGTTATTTTTACCGCTATAGTATCAGTGTCTCATATCATTTTTTTCACAGTCTTACGTTTAAAGTACCCGAAACTATTTAAATCTACAGATTCTGCAAATGCATGCAGTAGTTAATTATATGGGGTTAGAACCTAGATGACTGATTGTTTTCATAAAACATATCGCTGCAGGCATTTATATAAAAGTTTCATCTAATTTGATCATAGGGCCTTTGATTGAATGCTGTAAAGTTACAACCATTGACGGATTCTTAGAAAACTCTTCATGCCAAAGTATTACCAACAAATGAAATTTTCATGTAAAGTTCCAATTAAAATTGACAACATGACTTGTGTATTGAAATCGGTGTCTACACAGACCTTTACTTTTCAATTATTAACAATTATGTAATTAGATACAATGATAACTTGTAATTCACAATACATCATGCCGTTACCACGTCTAAAACAATAAGATCTGTTTTATGTATATGTCACTAAAATTTTGTCTTTATATATTCAGATGACGGATAATTGCAAATAAGGAATTCAAATATGACTGAGCAGACATTTGTAAAGACATGAAGGTGAACGAAACTATT